AGAGAAATAGACAAGAAGTGATGAAGTCTGACATGCTGGAGTTGATGAGAAGATAACAGAGCAAATAGGCACAGAAGGGCTAAATTGTGCAGGGAAAAGCAAGTAGAGGAACTCAGAGAGAAGGAGTGATTTGGTCAGAATGGGCAAGAAAGATCATCTTAGCAGCAGAGTTTTGAATGGACCTGAAGGAGGCAAAGTTGTGACACTCAAGACCAGAGAGGAAGAGCAACAGAGGGTCCTGTGGCACCTTTAAGACTAACAGAAGTATTGGAGCATAAGTTTTCGTGGGAGCATAGGCTCAGGCCTGGCAAGCCCTGGCACAAATTAAGCTTTGCAGGTCCCCCTTCCTCCACTACTTGTTTACCTCATGCTGAGCCACTCTGCTCCAAAGTGCTCTGCTGTTCCCGCAAGGTGACTCTTAGAAGAGTAGTGCATTCACTCCGAACATTGGTGGAGGAGGGATCACACAACAGACTCTGTGTGGTGCTCCGTGGGAGAAAGGTGTCGTGACTGGGATGTGGGCACTCTGACCTAATGGGTAGGATCAGGAGTCAGAGATAGTGGTCAGACAGCAGGAGTCTAGTCAGGGATCAGGAATCAGGCCCAGAGGCGGAGCGCAAGCCAGAAATCAGAGCCGAAGAACATATCTGGAGTCCGAAGCAGGGACTGTTGTAGCAACAGGCCAGGTATTGCTAGGTCACATAGAGAGCTTCCTGGAACGCCTTCCATGCTTAAATAGTGCACCTGCTGATTGGGTCTTCCGTGGGTGGCACGTCCTGTGGTGCTTAGTTCCCTCCAGGGTTGATAGTGCATGAATTGTAGCTCTGCCATGGCTGCCAGATGGTGGCATGGAAGTGTTAGTCAGCTGGAGCCCTGCAGACCCATGTTCCAGGCCTCTGGATCCTTACAAGGGTATGAAAAAAGCAGAGAAGGGGGATGGAATAGACTGTGCCAGGTGGGTTTGTGCACAGGCGGTTGGTGTGAGTGGCAAGGATAGAACAGGCAACAGCCCAGGGACAAAGAGCTAAGAAAATGCAGAAAGGGGAGCTGCAGAGTTGCATTAATTATCTAGTGTTCTCGCAGAATACCTGCCAGCAAAGAGAGATTTACTCAGCTTTATCCAATGATGTTTCTAGGGGGTGGGATTTCCTAGTTTATGGCTTTATTATGAACAGTTTGCTGTGAATGTTCAATATGACACATTTAAAATTTGAGCTGTGCTGCTTGGTTGGGGTGACTGACCAGACACATCCCAGGGTAATGTTTCTGTGCCCTGATTGGATGAAAATGCACGTACTTGCGGCATGAATAGCTGCTGCACATGCAAATGTAAGACACGAGTTTCATGAACACTCCCACATTTGGTCAGATACGACAGTTGTGTATGTGTGGGTGGGAGGGGGCATATCATTAGATAGGGCAGGTAGCTGCAACTTTGAAATTGGTTTTGACACTTTCTTCCCATTATCTTCCGGAAACTGCCTAAAAATGGGAATACACTCTGAATTTTAGAGAGTAAAAATATCATGATCCAGTTGAAATGACATCTGAGAGCATGTTATTGGGGCAAGCAATTTAGAGCCAGGCCCTCCACCTGGTTGCTTTCTATTGATTACTCCTCTTGTTCATCAGACTTCTTGGGGAGATGATGTTCACAATACTGTCTGTGTGTTCAGCCTGGAAAGCTTCTCTCAGATCACACCCTGCCCCAAGATACTAACATCCCCATACCTTAGGAAGTCTGGCTCCAGTTCAAAACTTGCACAGCTGGCATCTGACTCTACAAGAGATGACACCTGATCCATGTCTCCACTCCCTGAACTTGGGGAGTGTTTCGATCCAGATCTGAACTTTGTGGCTAAGGCCCATCGCTGTACTGTTTAAATCCTATGCTCTGCATTTTGCTGCTGGGAGAGACGATATATAATGAAGCAGATTCTGATACAATATCATTTTGTATAGTGTCTTCCCCACATCTGTATCCCAGTGACATTGGCTCTTCTGGATTTATTTCACCCATATTTCAGACGATACCTATTTCTGTAGCATACCAGATGACGATGCAATAGAGACCCATTGCATCATATTTGCAATACTCAGTTATTCATGCATTTGTAGAAACCCCACCCTCACTTACTGTATGTGTATTTCAGCTTCCTTAGAGGAACTTATAAAATGCTACATAAACCTGGCTAGATAGAATGAACTTGTACCATCAAGCCACACAGAAGATGTGCAGGAATAAAGACGATAGGAGCACGTGAGTACCAAGAGCTGTATTCCCAGACCCATTAGCATTTAACAAAATATTTATTGATTGGCCTCTGCAGTCCTCTGCATCAAATCTGGGTTTCATTCCTAGCCTCTACTCTCTTAGGTGCCTTTTAGGCTCCGGGCCTATCTACCTCTTTAGGTGCCACGGACATTTTCAAACCCACCGCTTGACTGCTGGCTAATCCCATAGGTGCTTATATCCATAAGGTGCCTAAATTTCTGCCACTCAGCATTTGCAAAGCCACCTAAGCCCTGACACCACCCCACAGCTAATGAGCAGGTTGGAGCCCTTGCTCAAGCTGAAGTCCCAGAGGCCCCACAGTAGGACTCTCATACTAAGCAGGGGAAAGCCAGTCTCGCCCGTGGCACCCAAACTGGTAGGTGTGCTCTGGGCACATGTAATACTCCTGGGGAAATTCTGCACCAAAAAATTAAAAATTCCATGCACAATATTTTAAAATTCTGCATATTTTATTTGTCAGAAATAACACAATATAATCACGCCAGTTTCAATTATTTTGGTAATTTGTTTCAAAATACCTGTCAGCAAGTATGTCTGTAACAATAGAGACAACAAAAAAGATCCAGGAAATGTTTTTGACAAATAGATTCTTTACTAGGCATGTTAATACAGAACTCTGAGTAATAATTCATTTAAACTTCAATATAGAAACGTATTTCCCGCACCCCTCATAAGCAGTGCAAAGGCTTGGAGGAGCCAGGGGTAATGGAGGAGCTGAGGGAGAGGGAAGTAAGTACTGGGAAGGAGTCTGGGAGTGAACCTGGACGGTTGTTGGGTGTGGGTGGGAGAAGTATGGAATAGGGTGGTTTTGGGAGGGGGGGGAGGAATTGATAGGGAGTAGGAGAACCTCCCCCATGCAGATCCTGACTGACCCCTGGCCTTTTCCATTCAGTCAGGCACATCTGCCTCTGTCGCCATGTGTCCCTGCACCCCCTCAGCCATGCCCCATCACCATGTGACCCTGCATCCCCCTGCTCCACAGTGTCCCTGCACCGCCACTCCCATTCAGCTCCCAGCCCAGTCTGTCCCCCCCACTAGCCCTTCTGAACCCCAGTCTATGTGATCCCCCCTCAGCAGCCCCATGCCCCCCACAGATTGTCCCCCCCCCATATGCTATGCCTCCTCACCTGGCCCCACAGACAGGGTGCTGTGAGGAATGCAGCCTCTCCTCCTCTCTGCTGGCTGCTACAGTGAGCTGTTCTGATGCCACAGCAGCCCCTGGTGGGTGAAAGGCGTAACTGCAGCGCCTCTCCAGTAGAATGTATTTTCTGCAGAGGAAAAAGGTCTGCAGGGTCCATTAATTCTGCACATGGTCAGTGACACAGAATTCCCCCAGGAGTAACATATGACCTGATAATTGTCAGACCCTGCATCAGGAGGGCTGGATGCAGGCCACCATTAGGGGAGGCATAGCACAAAAGACAGCACACAAAAGAGTTGTGGGCACACAGGCCTGGTCTACACTACGGGATTAATTCGGATTTAGCAGCGTTAATCCGAATTAACCCTTCACCCGTCCACACTACAGAGCCAGTTAATTCGAATTAAAGGGCCCTTTAAATCGATTTCTGTACTCCACCTCGACGAACGGAGTAGAGCCTAAATCGATTTTGTTAATTCGAATTAGGGTTAGTGTGGCCGCACACCACCGAATTACTGTGTTTAAGTTAATGGGGTAGTGTGGCCGCACACCACCGAATTAATGTGGTTAAAAACCGAATTAAGGTGCTTAGTGTGGCCGCGCACAATCGAATTTATACAACCTGTTTCCCAAATTCGAATTATCTAAATTCGGATTAATCCTGTAGTGTAGACATACCCACAGAAACATAGGGCAAGTGTGAGAGAGCTATCACATGTGAGAGAGACAAAGTCTGTTTCGGCTGCTAGGACATGGCTTACGTAAGTGACTGACCTGGCGTAGGTGCCTAATTCCAGGAGAGGGCTTGTAGCTGAGGATCCTGAGCAGAGGGAGGCTCATCAGCCAGATATGCCAAGTCAGCTGCGAAGGTGCCTAAGCCAGTCTCCTCTAGATGTCAGTTCTGGTGAGCTTAGGCAGCTCGTCAGCTTCTGAGAATCCCTTTCTTAGGCATCTAGCTCTCCCCATGCATTGTATGGGTGCCTAGGCAGCTTGCTGGAGGCTGAGGACACCACTAGGCAGCAGACTGCTTAGGGGTTACAACACTGAGTGAAGCAAGACTTAAGTACCTTTGAGGATCAGTGCCTTAATCGCCAGACCACCGGCGGCCGCGAGTGCTGCATAGACAACACAAGCAGCCCCGATGGGGGCAAGTGCCTACCATTGTTCACCAGTGACTTCTACAGCTGATCAAGGAGTCACTTCCACAGGCTATAATGAAAATCACCCAGCCTGGCCGCCCAGAAAAATGGTGGTTTGTATTGTGGATCCTTCACTCGGGTAACATCAGATGATATTTGCAGCTTCCACAGGAATGTGGAAGACGCTCAGGGGTTTATAGAAAAGAAAATGAATCAAATTCCTGCTTGTTTCTTTCTCTACCTTTAGGTAAAGTGGTTGGAGCCACAAGCTCTCTGCTGACACAATAACCAGAGATTTACAACCTGCCTGGCTTGCGTTGTCCTGTGTGTATCTGACCAGACTGTTAGTGTGCAAATCCTGCCACAGTTTGTTAAGGATCTATTTTGCTGGCGCACTGCACAACAACCAGGCTGAAAAGAGCAGCTCTTGTCTGAGTGACTCTGCAAGATATTCAAGTACCACAAAATCTCTTCCTATTCATCCTACCACTCTATTGGTATGTACCACTCTCAGGTTGTGTCCATCTAGCTAAACAATGTACTGTTTTTGTGATAAAGTATTTGCTGTTGCCATAGAAGACTGACCCATATTTCATTCATTTGGGATTCACTGTAAAGCACTTTAGTCTTTCCACCTCTTGGTTTTTGCTGGCTGCATTTCAATGAGACATTTAAAATATCATGTATATATTTCTTTAAATCTCCATTTCTATTGTCTGCACTGCAGCTGGTGAAAGCCGCTACTATGGGGAAGATTATTTTTCTTCCCTTAACTTAAGAGTGGCTCAGAAGCCTTTTCACTGTCTCGGCTGCTGTTCTCGAAAGTGATGACCTACCAGCCTCTGATTGTCACGAGTGATGCTTGCTTTGCAAACAATTCAGTTCCCTCTGCCCTGTGATGGGGGTGGATTTCCCCTGGAGAGGCCGGTGGACAAAACATCAGTTTTGTTTCTGGGCAACATGAGGAGGAAACTGATTACACAGTCCCTTCACCTCTCCTTAAAAGGTCTGTTTCCCCCCTAACCCTGGGCAGTTTTGGGTTGCAGATGAACATGGAATTTAGAGACAGCAAAGCAGGAACACAGAGGCCATTTGTTATTTCAAGCCACATTTATTGGCTCTGCTGCACCCCTCATAAATAATCTCACTCACCTTGTTTTAGCTACAAAGGAAAGGACGGAAGCTGATTGTTTCTTTCTGCAGCAAATATTAACACGTGAATCCAAGTGTTCTCTCAGACCGAGGGGCTGGGGGCCAACTGGACCCCCCCCCCTTTTCAAAAGTTTTAGTCACTCTACCAGACAGCGCCATTATTAGATGCAGTAAGAATGTTTCTCTTTGGAAAGGAATAATTTTTTATTTACAATTTTTCAACAAGATTTCAGCAGCACAATGGGGACCTTGAGCTCCAAGGTTTGGTACAAAAAAGACGCCCGGGTGGTGATGCTGGGACTGGATTTTGCGGGCAAATCCACCATCTTGTCTAAATTGAAGAGCAACGAGCTTGTGGAGACTTTCCCGACAGTGGGCTTCAATGTGGAGACCCTGAAAACCCCATGCCATCTCCCCTTGACTCTCTGGGATGTGGGTGGTCAAGACAAGCTCCGCGCTAGCTGGAAGGACTATCTGGAAGACACGGACGCTCTCATCTTTGTGCTGGACAGTGCCGACAAAACCCGGCTGCCAGAGGCAATGGCTGAATTGGAGAAAGTTCTGAACAATGTACACATGACTGGGGTTCCAGTCTTGCTTCTGGCCAACAAGCAGGAGCTGCCAAAGTCCCTCTCTCTCTCAGAGCTGCAGGAGAAGCTGAATCTGGACTGGTTCAGTGGCCGAAGCTGGGAGCTGAGAGGGTGCAGTGCTCACACTGGCGAGGGGTTGAGGGAAGCCTTAATGGCCCTGGCAGGACTTCTTAAGAGCCGGGATAAGAATTCCCCTGAATGTGTCTGTGCGCCACTGCAGTGATGAGGACAACTTTAAGCTCGGACGTGACTAGAGGGGGCAACTTGAGCATGAAACTGGAAAATCAGGTAACTTCCTCCACTAGTAATCCCTCAGCACTCTGTTCATCTCAGAAATACCTCCTCTGCTCCTGGTATGGTTAACGGAACTCCATATGGCATGTGTAATATTCCAAAATATCCCATAGTTCTACTGCACCATGAAATCACATCAGAAAACCCCCTTAGCAAAGCTGCATTTGTGGACAGCAATGTTCTTGACCTTGCCTTGCCAGTTTTTCCTAATCTGCTGTACCAGTAAACTCGGCTCTCACTACAGGTATTACTCGGGTGACATTTATTATTTTGTTCGTGTTAAATGTCTTACTCTATGCGTTCTGGATACGGGTTTTGACCTGATGAAGAAGATATTGCTGGGTGTCAGTCTTTATTTTTATTCCTCTAAGCTCAGATGCACTCAGTACAGAGTAACAGTCCCCGAAGGGATATATTTGAATGACCTCAGTTCCACTTCTCTTACAATTTATAGCAGATGTTTGTTGATCTGAAACAGAGCAGAATGGAAAGAGAATGGCTGAACAGAAGAAATTAAGCACAAGAATTTTAACAACTAATTGGCAATCGGTTTTAGCAGTGTCCTTTGTGAGCATCATGCTGGGCCACTGAAGTGTGATCAAGATCAGGTTGTGTGTTATGTTTTTAGAACGTATGTGTGGATTTGTGCGAATCCTGTTTTGTATAATTTTTGACATGTATTTAGACATGCTTCATTTTTATTGAAACAAGACTATAAATGATAAACATTTGTCCTTGGGTTAATTTAAAACCTGAGGACATCAAACAGGAATGAGCACCATGATGAGTTTTAAATGCTAGGAACAGATATATGCACACCAGAGCTCTAATCTGTCTCAAAATATCCTGATGCTGAAATCTATTAGATGGTGGACTAGTCTGACAAGAGGAGTGCTAGGAGACCTGTCTATTGGGTGTTTTAAAATTAGACTAGATAAAACACTAAAAATGCACTGTAGGAAAGGCAGGGTGATAGTCTAGACTAGAGGACCTTAACTTCTGCTGTTTTCAGTTGGAGTTGAAGTACTCAGCAGCTGTCAGGTAGTGCTGGGCACATTTCAGGATCAGGCCCCTGCTATGTAGTGAAAGTCTCTATTTGATTCCATTGACTCTTACACTGAAGAGTACTAGGGTGACCAGATGACAAAGATGAAATATCGGGACGGCGGGGGGGAGGCCGGCGGAGGGAAAAAAACCACTGCTGCTGCCGCCGCCGCCGCCAGGCGGCACAGCCCCATCTCCACCCGACTCTATGGTGGCCGCAACAGCTGAGCCCGCCCCGGCCCGGAGCTGCCAAGCCCACATGCTGCGCTAAATTCCCGGGGCAGCCTGGCTTGCTTCCCGGCTGCCCTCCCTGCCCGGGCTGGGTCGGGCCGCTCTGTGAACCATGGGTGCGGTGCAGGAGGCCCAGGCCTGCCTCGCCTTCTACCAGGGGCTCGGGCGGAGGGAGCCGCTGTGGGATCTCTGCCGGGCCGTGCTCACCTTCCTGGAGAAGCTGGACTGGAGCAGTTTGCAGGGTGAGTGCTGGGGGCCACCCCGTCCCTCCAGACTTGTGCTGCCATACAGCTGATCAGCGCAAGCCTGGGAGGGAGGAGGAATGCGGTGTGCTTGGGGAAGAGGCGGGGCCAGGGCGGGGATTTGGGGAGGGATCCAATGGGGGAAGGAGGGGGCGGGGCTGGGGGCGAGGGGGTGAGAGCCCCTCCGGGCTCCACCTGTGCGCCGGAGCGGAGGGCAAAATTGCTTGTTTGTCCGATGTTCGGTCGGGACGCGGGACAAACAAGCAAATATCGGGACAGTCCCGATAAAATTGGGATGTCTGGTCACCCTAAAGAGTACTTTTACACATGCATCTGACGAAGTGGGTATTCACCCACGAAAGCTTATGCTCCAATACATCTGTTAGTCTTAAAGGTGCCACAGGACTCTCTGTTGCTTTTTCCAGATCCAGACTAACACGGCTACCCCTCTGATACTTTACACTGAAGAGTGGCCCTGTGAAGCCACTCCTGTAGGGAGGGCACATACAAACAACATGGAACCTTTTGTTAAACTTGGAAATTTAAACCAAACCAAAACCACATTGATTAAGATGAAAAACCTTACTACGTTTGTTAGCTTGTACTAGATTATTATGCTATCAATGGAAAGGGGGGGCCCAACCCAAGAATATTAGGCAGCTGGAGTCAGCAAGTTTCAAAGAGGAATGTACCCATGATGCAAAACCAAAAAGAAACATGCACTTTTCTTCTGATCACCTCAATGCATTTTACAGACATTAATGATTTAAGCCTCAAAACATTACTGGGAAGTAAGGCAGTATTATCTGCCTCATTTTACAGAAGGTGAAACTGGGGTCAGGTTAAATAATGTGACAAGAAGCACGTGGCAGGGTAGCAATAGAACTGAAGCCACCTGACTCCGAGTGCTATGCTCTAGCCACAAGATTATTGATGGGAAATCCCCCCCTAAAAGAAATCCTTCCTAATGAGACAGGCCAGAATTTTCAGCCAAACTATATAAGGAATAGTATGTGCTATGTTGTGAAAGTAAATAAATGGCCCAGTTTTGATTTGGCATAAATGATTGTTGCTATCAGTAAGAGTGCCATATACGACTTGCACTGAAAAGGATAGTGAACCTGTGTTCTAGGCAAGGCTGTAGCTTTATGTTACAAACACACACACGATCATTTGAAGGATACGGTCGTAAGAACAGTTTGAAACTGCAGTTGCTGTAAATGGGTTGATTTTCCCATTGTTGGTTGTAAATGCAAGATTCCAATAAACTGAAGAGATCACTGAGACCTCACATACGAACTGAATCATTTTACCTTCCACTTGTCACTGTGGCTTTTTCACAATGTCCTTGCCCAGGCATCTGAACGCAATGGGTCAGATTCTCACTCCCCGCTCCAGCCTCTTAACACCAGGTAAAAGGGTGGAAGGGGCTTTACAGCTGTAGGTCAAGCTGGGAGAGAATTCTCTTAGAGCAAGAACTGAGACTGATGGCCTCAGGTGGTCCTTTTGAGGGCCCCTTTCCAAGCTCTGCTGTAAGGGGCATGGCTGAAGAGGTGTGTAGCTGAAAGGATGTTTCAGGCCTTGGGCCATATCATAAAGGGCTGCTGCACATAGGCAGCCAGGGACAAGCCGCTGTAACCCTATCTACATGGAGAAATTGACTGGCAGAACGATAGCAGTATAATTCTAGGACTATATCTATGCCAATGTAACTCTCCATGTAGATTCTCTATTCTGGAACAAAAGTGACTCTCAGTATAGCTATGTCTATCAGGGATGGTCTAGACAGTATTTGGTCCTGTCATGCGGGCAGGGGACTGGACTCGATGACCTCTCGAGGTCCCTTCCAGTCCTAGAATCTATGAATCTATGAATAGCTTTATTTCTGCTGGCCGTTTTCCCTGTGTAGACAAGCCTTAGGCTGGGCTGTTTAAATTTTGGCAGGGCCACTCTGACCCTTGGAGCAGCTTGTTGTTGGGAGAGTGCAAAGGTGCCTTAAAGCCCCCTGAGCCTGCCCCCCTCCGGTACTGCACCTCTTAGAAACCCAGCTCAGCAGCTCACCCAATAGCGGTAAATTAAAAAATTGATCTGGAAGGAGGGGAAGCTCTCATATGCAGACAACTATCTCAAAGCGTGTCTTGGCTTCTCAACTGTAAGCTCTTCGGGGAAGAGACTGGCTTTGCTTTTGTAGGCTGTATAGTGCCAAGCACACAACTGATGCTGACACAATAACAGCTACTGAATGTTCACACACTATGCTCTGTGGTGCCTTTATTCCCTCTTTATTATACAGTGTGTTCTGTGTTCATGACTTTTCCTAAAAACAACAAACCACACGGATTCTCCCTTGTACTCCCAGCACGCGAAAATACAAATCAAGTACCAGATAAACAATTTTACAGAACTAACTGAAAAGACACTTGGAGAAAATACAGGGCAGTTATTAGTATTTGAAGGCCTTCCGAGGAGTAAGTATTTAAAAAGAATAAAAAAACTATAATTCTTGCATCTGAGTTACTGCATGGTCTGATCCTATCAGATTTCACCAGGGAAGTACGTGCTTTCCATTCACACTGAGCAGCCACACACTGTCCGTTTAAAACACTCATTTTATTTTAGCATAAAACAAACGTAGTTTCCATTAGAGCACAGTAAGCTGTAGCTGGACTGAACACGAAATTGTAGCTGCTTCCAGCAGACTCCTAGGCCATGTCTACACTAGCACTTATGTCGGCAAAACTTTTGTTGCTCAGGGGTGTGAAAAAAACGCCCCCACCCAAGCAACATAAGTTTTGCCGACATAAGCACTCGTGTGCACGACGCTCTCCCGGCAACACAGCTACCGCCGCTCATTGAGCTGGTTTTATTATGTCGATGGGAGAGCGCTCTGCCGTCGGCATAACGCGGCTACACGAGCAATCTTACAGCGGCACAGTTGTATCGGTACAGTTTGTCAGTGTAGACATGGCCCTAGATATTTAAAACTGCAAGACAGAGAACAAAATCCTAACAATTGTGTAGCTACATATATCACAACTAGCACTTGGCTGGAAAGGGATTCCTCAGCACTGCAGGAGTTAGGTGCTGCTGTTTCAGAAGCTGGCCTTCTTCCCATTGGGGGTTGTGACAAAAAAATAGGAGCACAGAACTTCACAGGTAAAGCTGAAACTTCACTGGTTAAACCAAGTGAATCTCCTCTTTGTGCTTGTGAAAGACATTAGCCTGAGACTGAAATCCTCCATTTATCCATATACAAGGGGCCTTACTGGCAGAGCCGCCCAGAGGATTCAGGGGGCCTGGGGCAAAGCAATTTCAGGGTCCCTTCCATAAAAAAAAAAATTGCAATACTATACAATTCTATATTCTCGTGGGGGCCGTTGTGGGGCCCGGGGCAAATTGTCCCACTTGCTTT